GGAGCTAAAAATTTAAAAAAAAAAAAATATATTTAATCAACATTTTATGGTCTAATGAATGCAAAATTAATATGATAGGATATGGTAGGACGTGGATCTGACGTTCAAAAAATAAAAACAAATTTGCGTCCGCTGCACGACTAAATCCTTTAAAGCCCATGGCGGTAGTATAATGGTTTGGGGCTATTTCTCATGGTGTGGTGTTTTGTATAAAAGAAAGCATGGATTGCCATATATACCTTAAAATTGTAGACGAAGTCTTACTCCCATATGCCGAATGGAATATGATTTTAATTTGGTAATTTCAAGAAGACAACGACCTTAAACATACSTCGGGTAAAAAAAAATTATTTTCAGATCATGGTGTTGTTGTTAAGGCTTGGCCAGTACAATCACTAGATCTGAATCCAGTCGAAAATTTATAGAAAATCGTTAAGGAATATATTGGACCGATTTAAATAAAAAATAGTGCGCAACTCTGGGAGAAGATTCAAGAGGTCTGATACTCTATTCCACAGAGCCTGATTAAGTCTATGCCTAGAAACTGTATTATACAACAAAAGGTACTCTACAAAGTACTAAACTTGATTCTTCTAAAATATGTATTATRATTGAARTTTGATTAGAAATACGAAAATACTTTTTCRACTACCCAATATTTCGTTGATATTTTTCATTGTACTTCAAAAGCATACTTTTGTTAGAATATTTAATTATTTTCTAATCATAAGAGAGATTCTAAATAAAACTGGAAAATAATATCTTGAAGCTATGCAGACAATTAAATAAAAAAATCTTAAACTTARTTATTTCTAACCATAAGAGAGCTTCTAAATAAAACTGGATACTATACAAAAATATCTTGAAGCTCTGCAGAAAATTTGATCAAAAATTCTTAAATTTCTGCTGTGTCACCAAAAACTTCGCACACTCGTCTACTTGCCTTGGGCGCCAGGGCCCCTTCATGCTATAAATACACCCCTGGAGTCACTTCTTGCCTTACTGTCGKKGGCGCTCTCCACTCTATACACCTTCACGTACACTTGTTCGCTTGCCGCAAACTCAACTCAAACACGCAGCGCCTCTCACTCTCGTGCTCTCGCAYWTGCCGCTGCGCTYTGCCTTACCGCCGCTCTGGCTGAGCGTATGCTGCCTTGTGGTTTATGAAACGTCATGAATTTACCGTTCAATCRGCCACGCTTGCTCAGCAACATTATACATACGTACGCATGTAGTTGTTGTACAAACATAGCAGCACACACACGCACACACCTATATGCAGATATATTCGCCGTAGAGCGCTAACAAAAAAAGCCAAATTCAAGCATACGCTAGCCAAAATACTCGCGTACAAACGACTCGGAAGTCAGTCACAATTGGACAGTGTACATTGTAATTATTTTTCGTGAAATCAACCTGCAGCGCCGCGTTTCGTCGTTTCCCATTGCGAGTAGAGTTAGCTTTGTGCATTCGATAAACAGAAAAAGCAATAAAAGAAAATCGTAAATAATACTTGTGCGCATACAAATTGTCTCGTAGGCGTAGTATATAGTCGGTGAATAATAATAAAAACAAAAACAAAAGCAAAGAACACTTGTAGGCCGGCATCTGGACGGGCGTTTCATTGAGGTATGAGTGTTTTCTTAGTGAAATATATTATGTTTATTACTCGACACAAGTGCCATTGTAAATGTGTATGGAAACCATTTTTGTTGCATTTATTACAACAACAATAGTTTTGGAAGCAACAAAATGTTGCAATATTTGTTGTTTGTGTTTTTTGTGAGTTTTTCATTTTTGCAACGCTTGGAAATTGTAATTCGTTTGTTTGTTGTTCGGCACACACTCGTTTGTTGTTTGTGTTTTTGCTACATATCTGTCGCTGTCACTGCCGTCTTTCAGCGGCGCTCTCTTCCCCTTGAGTAACGCTGCGCACATACTCACGTATACCTTAATTCACAGCGCTTCCCCGCTCAGCAGCGCTTTTTCGTCGCTCTTTTTGGCTTTTCATGCGCGCRGCGAATTCATCTCAGCAGCAGCCTCTCCGCTCAGCAGTTACATGCTCATATTATCTCTATATATTGTATATATGCATACATATGTTCTAATGTATGTATTTGTTGGTAAGCTGTCTGCTTGCACTCCCATCTGGCAGTGTGCTCCAAGCGTATTACATACAGCTAAAGTACGACGTCTGCAATTGCTCGTGTACTTACACGAATTGCGTTATTGCTGTCGCGTTTCACTGTTGTTTTTGTTGTTATCATTATTGTTGGCGCTGCTGCTGCTTGTTGTAGGCATCGTCTATACTTCGCAAGCCATATATGTGTTTATGTATAAATTTTTGTGTTTGTTCGGCGTGAGCAGACGAGTTGCTGCGGCAACATCGCGCTCACCGTTCGGCCACTATGGATACAACTTTCAATTGCGGGCAAAGCAAAAACACTTACAATCGGCAATGGTTGTGTTGTACTCGCAACGTAAGCGCAAAGTGTATGTGCCTCCCCCAGCCCGGCTGTGGGCAAGGTACTGTGGAACTATTTTAGATAAAAAGTGGGAAAATATAGTGAGATAATAAACTTAAGAATTAAACATTGATGATCATATAAAAAACGCTTAAGAAATGAAAAATTCTTGCGGTTTTTATGCATTTTTTTTTTCAAAAATTCATATTTTGCGAAGATTTTGTGAAATTTCCAAAGAAAAAATTTCAAAATTCGGCCATAACGACGTCATTTCCGAAAGACCGTCGAAAGAGCTGCCCCTCGTTGACAGCTGAAATTCTTACAGAATCATATGAAATATTATAAATAATATGTACATATATAGTGGAAAAAAAGTAAAATTTGTAAATTTTGGCGAAGATTTCTCGATGTGTTTCTTTATTTAATAGTTGTAATTGAAAAAAAAATCATTAGTTCGTGACCTTATATTAGCCGGCAAATTATAACTTGAAGGCTTGTGGGAGACTAAATTAAGATCGGTTCCGGGAGGGTTGCAGTGTTTTCGAAGCCGAGGCCATTAAGATGGCAGTATATTTACTGCTTCGGAATGGAGCATCTTTCAGAAAAGTAATCATTCTCTTAAATAAGCAGGGCGGCGAACTAGCCTTAAACTTTTAACAGGTTGCCCTATGCCCCGACCTTGAGCGCGCAACTTTACAAGGCTTTCTCTCCAACACTGTTATTCGAATCAACTTGAGTATTTAGGACAATATTTGAGAGATTGTAAAGAATTAAATAATCCATTAAAAATCATTTTATAAATATTTATATTCTTTAAGAAAAAAAAAACAAATTATATTCCTCACTTTCTGATAAACCAGTTTAAATTGGAATATTTAAGCATAACCAATCTTTAAGAGTCCAATAAGATTCCGTGAACATACTATATCTTCATTGATGGCTTCAATACAAATAAGACTAATTAGCTAATTAGAAACTAGAAACATACACGTCACATTATCTACAATATCTAAGCCTTCAAATTACACTTCAAACGAACAATTTTAAATTATTTCCTAAAAATTTTTTTTGTGGGAATTCCCCAAGCGACTTTGGGTTGATTTTAATTATTTTTCAAAGTAAAAGATAAGTAAAAAATCTATACTAGCTCTGCTTTTAAATGGCAATATCTCTAAGTAGGATTTTATGTGCAAAAATTTCAAATTCTGCACTCCAAAGTTCTTGGGGAGTGCTTCAGGAAACTCTGAGTTGTCGTTTAACACTTCTTTTAGGATGGAAATGTGGTAAAAGTATTGTTTTTATTAATTTTTGTACCTGCCATTACTTCTTAACAACATAACTTTTTGCTCAAGTTATGCTCACTCGATAACGTTCTTGAAGGTGGGTGTTCCCCCCAACAGCCTAAAATCATGAACTATTTCTAAGAACTACTTCCACTCGGAAACAAAAAATTTGTCTATATAATATTTTGAAAAGACCAAATAAATATTTACAAAAGTTTGTATGAGAAAAACGAGGTTCCGAGGTTATTTATTAAATTAGTTTCTAAGAAAATAAATAATGAATTAACTTAAAGCATTCCAAAATTTGCCTAATTAAAAGAAATAAAATATTTACAATAGTCCAAAGAACATTATCATGCATAAATTTATATAATATATTAAAATTATTTGCATATTTCATATAAATTTTAACAAAAAAAGCTATGAAAATATTTTTAAACTTCAATTGCGTGCCTACAGCCCACTGTGCGCAGCCYCAACACCGTCATCGCTGCCTGCTACTGGTTGCTGCCGCTGTGCGTCTTTTTGGCGTACAACGTACGGACTGCGCTGCGCCTGCTTCGTGTTGGCGAAATGAATTTTCTCTTTTTCACATTTGGGGCCAATTTTTTAGTACGAATTGTACTTTGAAGCGAATCGGAGGTGCTGAGCGGGTCTAAACTACCAAAACCAATTACATACCGATCAACCGGAAAAAAATTCACCAATTTTTTGTGTGCTGTAAAGTTGTTAAATTGTGAAATTGTAATTGCAAAAAGCATTGAAAATCAATACGAAGAGCGGCAAGCAATTAAATTTGTGCGATTAAAAAAAAGTAAAGAAATTTGCATTGTGGCAAAAGTGGCAATTGTTGCAGCAGTCAGCCAGCGAAGGCAGCTAGCAAGCTAAAAAAGCAAGTGCAACAACAAGTGCAGCAAAGGCATTTGAGTAGAAGAAGCAAATTCCAAAGCAAAAAATAAAAAAAAAGTAAAACAAATTACAACAAATTTGTCAGTAAAGAGCTGCAAGCTGGAAAAAAGCTGCAAGGAAGCATTAAAAAAAACACCACCAAACACTTGAACCACCACTAACAGCAGTAAGAAACAATTACAACAAATAACAATAATAACAATAACAACTAGCAACAGTGTAGAGACACATACTTATCTATATAAACTTAAGTAGATACACATAGTTATACACACACATAATATATATACAAAGACATATGTATTATATACAAAGCGACTAACAAAAACTTTAAAACTTTAAAGAAATTTAAATATAATAAAACACACACAGCCATACACTTGCATATGTACATACACACACAAAACATTTGTAAAAAGCGAACCCAGAAAAACTAGCTGAGAAACAACAACAAAAACACACACAGACACGTCAAAAGTGCAGTACGAAAGCAGAAAATCTACAAATTCTGTGCAAAATTGTGCAAAAGTCGAAAATTTGTATGAATACAAAGTCAAAATCGCAAATCGTTTTTCTAATTCGCTAAATCAAAGTAAAAATTATCAAAAAAAAAAAAAAATTGAAGTTTTTTCTGCGTAAAGTGTGTAGTAATATGCATTAAAGCACGAAATTCTTATCAAAAAAGCAAAGAAGAAAGTAAAATCGCCGCTCCAACAGCAGCATCCACTACAACAACAACAACAAAATTGAAATTAAATTTCCGCCTCCTCAGCCTCCTCGTAGCAATTTATACGTCGGTGTGTGTGTATATGTTTTTTTAGCGCGCTTACTTCGTGCATACGTGTGTGTGTGTAAGCCGAAGTTTGCAAATAAACGCGTTTGTGTTTGTAGCGCAGAAAGCGAAAACTGTTCGAAAAAAAAAACCAAAAAAAGTAAGGATTGGAAAATTGCATGAAAAACTGCAGCACAACTTGCAGTCATCGTTGAAGCCTGCAAACTTGAAGTTGCGTTTTCGGTTGAGCTCAAAGCCCAARCGCGTAAGTGTAGTTGTTATTATCTGTGTTTTGGTGTATTTACGCTAAACACGCTAATCAWTCAGCTAAGAAGTCGGTGTGTAAAGCAAATATACACGTAAATTAAAAACTGTCGCCCGTCCGTCGGCAAAGTGAAAGTGCAAGAACGTAAAGGTGCAGCAGCAGCCAGCCAAAAGCCAGCAGCTAGGAGTAAAGCGCAGCAGCGGCGATAGTTGAGGAAGACGTGCTTTGAACGGTAATTGAATTATAACACTTTAACAACTTCACTTGCAACTAAGTAGAAACGTAAATATTTATGTACTGGTGTGTATGTACATATGCATACATATATCTATGTATGTACATATGTATGTACGTGCTTCAAAGCGTTATTGGTAGGGTTGTTATTCCACGGCTCTAA